CTCACCATTTTTTCTGTAAGAACTATCAACTGATTGGAAGTTTTATCTAAAAATGTATCTGACCTGATTTCTTGACCTGCATCTAAAGTAATATTTTCATATACTCTGGCTGAACTTTTGTTCATAATATTAACCTGATTAAGAAAAACAACATATACGTATTTATTTCACTTGTAGCCCATTAGACAACAATGGACACATATTTATTATAAAATAGTCATTAATAATAATAATAATAATAATAATAATAATAATAATAATAATAATAATAATAACTTTATTTTATACAGCGCAAACAATATCCAATTAAAATGATCACAGGTGTTGTACAGAATTTTACAAATATAAATCTACAAAAAAAAATCAGTACTCGATATGTAATATACATTAAAAGTTGAATAGAAATTTTGTAACCATAAAAAGCATCACAATGCAATTTAGAACATCAAAAACCTCCATTGATAAACTAAGATTTTAAAAAGACCCGACACGAAGAAAACAATAAAGCGCTAACAACTACATTTGGATTGTTTAAAAGGAAAAGACAAAGGACTACCAAACCGTTACGAAATTTACATCATAAAGTTAAGAAAGATGCCATACCGATAAAAAAATACTACTGTACATCATATATCTTGGATTAATGATAATGTATCTTGGAAAAATTAAGTAAAATACAATCCTCACGTAAAGCTGAACGATACTGTTTTCTAAAATAGATACATATTATTGTAGAATTTGATACTTAATCTGGCTGGACTTTTTCTGATGACGTTAACAATATAAATGTTGTATTGTTGATTGTACATAAACATTTTGTAAGTGGTAATTAAATGGTCTGTAAATCCTTTTTAGAATTGCTAATTTATTATATTTTTGTAGTTGAATTTATAATTAATCCAATTGAAGTGATGTTAATGTAAATTATTATTGAATTAAATATTTTTCGATTTGTTGTCTAACAAATTGCTCATAAACTATAATTGAATGAGTTAATGATCGAATGTGTTGTTTATTAAATTGCTTTTATAATATTTTTTGTAGTAATTTAAATTATGTATTAAATACATTATTTATTGAATATTCGCCTTTAATTATTACTGCGTAGGCCTTATATGTTGTATTATTCTGAAACCTAAATGTATTTTTACAATTTATTTTTATTTATCTAAATTTTTTGTGTTGGTTTTGTGTATGTTTGCCTTGAAGATCCCTCGATGGCGTTCTACACGTTTGGTAATCCTTGGATTTTTCTTTCCTGAAATGTAATAAATAAATGTATCCACAGGTCGATGGACAAGAGCATTCTCTACCTTTAAAAAATCTCAAAATATATTATATCAATTAAAAACTATTGGTTAGTTAAAACAAAAATATTTCGTTATAAATTTATTGCCAACATGATACCACCAAACCCGTGTATCATATTAGGTCTCGTCTTCTATACTCACCTTCATCAGTTGTCCATCATCTGTGCCTAGAAATGCTATTGTGTGGTTTTCTTCAACTGTAGCTATGACTGATGTCAGGATTGTGTCAGTGACTGTTAGCACAGCCTGTGACACTGCTGCTTGTGTGTAGATACCTCGTGAATATTTTCGCAAGAGGTCTCTATCACCAGGACACATGTAGGATATCACATCAGCAGCACTGAGACTCAACATCTAATTTATAAAAATGTATTTAAAAAGATAGGTCATGAAATTAGTTTTATTGCCTGCTTATCTGAGTTTTAATAGAATCTCATTTTCACAAGACATTTCATAAATGAAATATTTGAGATTTTAACTCTATTGCCTTAATAATAATAAAACTTAAATAAATATGATTTCATACATTTGATGAACAGGAAGAACCGGCAGCATAATCCAATCTTTGATCAGCACGAGCCGCCTCAGAACCAGTTAGACAAACATTCAAAGCTTTGAAAAACGCATTCTCAATATCATCCAACTTGTAAATACACAATGCAGACTGTTCAGACGGATTTCCACTACCATCGTCCTTCGCAAACACTCCGTAGAGGACATCGTCTCCAGCCAGGAGGCCAAGTGAAGTAGCCAGGTTTGACCCTACTGGGCCTACTGACATAGACTGAACTAAGTTGAAGTCAATGTCACCAGAAACACAACGAAGAACGACTTCAGAGAGTGTGTCAAATGAGTTGCTATGACAAACACGACTCAATCTTGAAAATAACTTGTCTTTATCAAAACCATCTGATGCTCTATAATTTGGTCTAAATGCAGCAAAATATGTATATTCCTTAAATGAAAATGCAGTTTTGAAATTAATCATATTCCCTTGACTTATGTATGTATCTTCTGGTAGAACACCATCTATAAATTGTACAAATGTTGTTGTTCTTTTAAGATATCTTCTTGCATTAACATACGTATAATAATCTATTCCATCCAAAGAGGTATGACCGGATGACACATACAACACATTTTCCAAGTTGTTGCCAATTAAAGCAGGAGCAATGAGTCCGACAGCAGATAGTCTACTAACAATCTCTTCTACAAACTCGCTTCCATCTAAAGATAAATTTATTAGCGACCGAGCCTCGCATCTTCCATTGTTTCCTCCTCCACAAGTAATCAACCTATCATTATCGTAGTCAATGGCTAATACTTTATTGTTGTTGTCGCAATCATTATCAACTGCCAAACAAGTTGAAGTAGTTGCAATGATGTTGAAATCCTCTGACAGTCTGTACAATGCATTGTGGGCTCCTATGTAGATATCACCTGTTGTGTTATGGACTGTCACATGATACAAAACTTCACTATTGCTGGGTTCAAATTCATGTACTTGATAGGTTGACAACTTTTTACAATTTATAAAAACAGTGATAAAGCACAGCAGTAGCAACTTTATCATTGGTATCATAACTGATTTGTTGGTATTTTATTGGTGGTTTCTCTACTGAAATAAAACATAATGGTAAAAATATTTTTTAAATGATTATGCCCAGTATGCTTAAAACTGTAGTTTCAGGTACAGTTATTCTATAATACTCGTATATAATAATTTTATTATTTATTATAATATGTATTGCTGCGAGAGTTTGTTGCAACAAACGTGCATAATTGAAACGAAAATTAACTCATATATATTATATGTTAATTCATCTTGGATAATACAAAAAATAGATTATAGAGAAGGTAGGTGACACAATCACTAGCCAAATTGGTATTGACAAGGTTTGGGACGAGTTTCTCGGCCCACTCACTAAGTGTCCAGGGTCGAAATTCAATACGGTCTTCCATCAATCAATCAATATTTCCCTTCAAATTGAATCCACATTTAATGTATGTGTATTCTATAACTTCTGTTTCTTCAATTACTGGAAAACTTTTAGATAGTAATTAATTTCGCTTTGTATTCCTCAGGATGTTGTATAGGTTTCTGATTAAATTAATTGTATTCATGGAAATAAATACAATAAAACAGAGGAGTAATTTTCTTTAATATTTCATGTGCTTGGACTGGAAACAAATTTTTATGATGGTCATGGTCACACCGAAGCGTACACCAAGTGCAGATAACATTTACAGCTAAAAAGTGGGTACCTGGTAGGTTCAAACACAGCCTGCGCTGAATACAGCTGCAACATTATGGAATTCCCCTATGGGGCCTGAGTGTGTGTTCCATATGTGCTTGATCCAGTGATCCGGGGTAATAATGTTCAGCGCATAGAGAAGTTTGATATGCGCTATATAAGTATACAATAATAATAATAATAATAATAATAATAATAATAATAATAATAATAATAACCCTACTTAGACCCGTAGCATGGGGGTGGGGGTGATTAAGGGGGTTACGAAGGTTCGCATTTAAAAACGAAAAACTGATATTCGTAGATATATTTACAATGTTCTACAGAGTATCGGAGGTCCACTTTCCACTGAAACGAACCTCCCACACTGTTCTATTTTCACACGCACAAATTAAGTCACGCTACGGGCCTGCCTAGTGTAGTTCAATTGCGTCACCGCAAAACACATAATATATTAATATTATTATTATTATTTTATATTATTATTATTATATATTATTATCTCAATGGGTCCTCGCGTTTCTCCACGCTTATTTACGGTACAGAGAGAGCAGCTTAGCTGAGTCGGCTAATCTGGTGGTAGCCGCTGTGTGTGCGCTGAACCATGGAGATATCTAGGTTCCCGGTTCAATTCCCATCGCTGCCTCTCCTTGCGTTTCAGCTAGAGTGCTGAAATACAATAGCGCACCGTATTTCGGATGAGACGTTTAAGCCATTGGTCCCGTGTGCATTATGGCCCATGTGCACGTTAAAGAACGCAGTACACTCTTCGGAAAACAGTAGGGGATTGTCTCCCTGTGTACTGCCCAATTACCACCAGAAGGACCCCGCTGGAAATAAGTCTTCTAGACTTTCGTGGGCTATCCTTGGTGTTTACATCGAATAAATCCAATCCAATCCAATCCAGTACAGGCGCAAGTTATTATAATTATTGGGATTTTTTTGGAAGAGCATAAGATAGAATTTTTTTTAATGATTAGAATGTTTATTTGTGCAAAAAAAACCCATTTAGAATGATCATTTGTACAAAATTTAAATACTTAAAATTGAAATTTTTTTTTTTAAATTGGGAAAAAATTAAATACCAAGACGCGATACCAACTCACGACCTTAAATATTTTAGGACACATTCTTAACCGACCGCGCCATCTATACGACATGCGGTATTAGTGGTAATGACAATAATGTAATGTAGTATTAAGGTTCAATGGTATTAATTTGCATAACCATTGGAATCGATACCCTTCACCTGATAAATGCCTTAAATTGGATTGACAGTTTCAATGGTCAACTTGAGTATACAGATAATCTAATAATATAACTGGACATTGTATAACTTTACCCTAGTCAGTTGGACTTGGCCTTTCTCACACTATGAATCTATGATTGTCAGTTTTGAGCCTAAGCTCTGAAGTTTGTGATACATCTCAATTAGCAGTTTTTTGGTAAACAAGTTACTAAATCATAGAGAAAGAATTTCTCTATGATCCAATCAGAAACTCTAAAAGTATGGGGTGACTTACTTGAGACACACCCCCATACCTAAAGTATAATAGGCAAACACCCCCATATCACTGAGTAGTAGTTAGATTCAAGTTAGTAGTTAGGAGTACACAGAAGAAAAGTACAGAGCTGAGCTGACTCCACTCAAAAAGGGTTCTCTAACATCTGAAACTTACTACACCTAGTACAGTGACCTAGTACACTTCGACCTTTAACTGACCCACTAATTGTACCACCATTATCAATACCAGACAGACCTAAACAACAACCAACAGTACTTAGGGAACAGAGATATGTGGATAAAGAAAATAATGATATACTGTAACCTATAGAGATGTACCAATTGAATTGTACACATCACCAAGCCCATTAGTTCCAACTATTACTGAACTAAAAACAACACACATTCCGAAACAAAAGGAATTAGACAAATTGATGGACGTTATCCGTAGAAAAATAATCAAAGATTATAATTTGCCAGTTGATGTTAAACAATTACAAATTGAGCAGGAAACGTCACCATTCTTTAAACCTGTCTACGATTATTTAGCTCATGATATTCTGCCAGCCGATAAGAAGGCAGCAAGAGCGATTCAAACAAAATCAGAACAGTACATACTTTGTAACGGTTTATTATTTCGTTTTTTCCTACAAAAAAAATGTGATGATTTCATATTACAATTAGCAATACCAGAAACACTTGCCGAAATTATCATATCTCAATTCCATGATTATTTGTTAAGTAACCACCAAGGTACAATGCGAACATACTTAACAATCCGTCGACTTTCTATATGCCTCATATGTTTGAACGTATTAGTAATTATGTTAAAGCTTGCCTTAGATGTCAGCAATTTAAACCAAAAACTGACAAACTTCGACCACTACATGACAGAGTACCTGATGCCTATCGACCATTCGATAGTCTCAGTCTAGATTTTAAGAGTATGCCAACTTCATCATCGGGATTCAAACACATTATGGTAGTATGTGATGAAATTACACGATTTTTAATCTGTGTACCTTTAAAATCACTTGATGCAGAGACAATTTGTGAAGCATTAATACAGAAAGTTATTACCATATTTGGACCCCCATCTCGTCTTATTAGACGCAGCTAGTTCACTAACAGGCAAACTGTTAACACTCTATATGTAACACTCTCAACATCGACAGAAAAATCATAAGTGTACAAAATCACGGTAGTTTACAAGTCGAACGTCATATTCGTACTTTGTCTGACCTTTTAAAGGTGAACCTTAATCAATTTGGTACAGATTGGGTTAGATTCGTATCAACTACATGTTATGCATATAACTCATTTTCATCACCATATCTGGGTGATCATTCACCATATGAGTTAGTATTCGGAAGACAACCTCCGCATTTAACGAAATTAACCTTCAATCCCATGTCAGGAATATCTCACTCATACGAGGAATATCTTGAACACCTCAAAAAGAAATTTCAGCACATTTCAACAAATGCTTACACTACAACGAACAAACCAAGTTAATCAGAATGCCAAAATTTCGCAACGACTGTATAAGAGCCCAATTTATTCTGTAGGACAATTAGTGTATTTGTACAAGCCTACATCATCTTCTTTGACTGCCAACTCAAAGAAAATATCAGCAGAATGGGTTGGATGAATACATCAAGTATTAGACAGAACACACTATATTCTAGAAACACTTAAAGGCGAAGTATTACGTGATGTATTTAATTACAATAGACTTAAACCATGTTTCATGAGAGCCACGGATGAACGAAAGAATGTTACACACATTCAGAAATTAAGACAGTTGATCAATAAGGCCAATGATAATGAACAGACAAGTAAGAATGAACTAAACGTGAAGGGATGTAATGTAGTATTAAGGTTCAATGGCATTAACTTGCATTGCCATTGGAATCGATACCCTTTACCTGATAAATGCCTTAAATTGGATTGACAGTTTTAATGGTCAACTTGAGTATACAGATAATCTAATAATATAACTGGACTTTGTATAACTTTACCCTAGTCAGTTGGACTTGGCCTTTTTCACACTATGAATCTATGATTGTCAGTTTTGAGCCTAAGCTCTGAAGTTTGTGATACATCTCAATTAGCAGTTTTTTGGTAAACAAGTTACTAAATCATAGAGAAAGAATTTCTCTATGATCCAATCAGAAACTCTAAAAGTATGGGGTGACTTACTTGAGACACACCCCCATTACCTAAAGTATAATAGGCAAACACCCCCATATCACTGTAGTTAGATTCAATTTAGTAGTTAGGAGTACACAGAAGAAAAGTACAGAGCTGAGCTGACTCCACTCAAAAAGGGTTCTCTAACATCTGAAACCTGGAGTTTAGCTGATTGTAACCACGTAAAGTTTGTGTAAATACATACTGGCTGTAGAGACTTGATAGTGATTTCTAGTTATTCATTTACACGTTTCTCTTTATTGGATTGGACCATTTTTTAAAACAAATATGCCGATACTGATCATTGACCCATGTCACAAGGTTTAATTTCGTATAATTTCGACAAATTTATCTACATACAATGATAATAAAGTGAGCGATCCCAAAGTGACTAGATATATTTAATGATGAAGTGTGTCACAAATATAAATGTATTAGAAATAAATATATTTTTGAATCTTAAATCTATTTGTTTTTATTCTGCTTGTAACCCAGTGAAATGTAATTCTTGACTTCGGGTAAATTGGTCGTCTGAATCGATACATTTATAATATATTTTATATTAATGCAATCTCCTTTACTCAATTGTTGTAACACTGAATATACTTTAAAAAAAAACAAAAACAAAAAAAAATGAAACAATAAAAAAAACAAAAAGAATTACTTGAAGATATGAAATGACATGGAACACAAACAGATGTACATATCATATATATATATATATATATATATATATATATGTATATATAACCTTAATACTAATGGAATGATTCTGAACTAACAATTTTTCTCTGCCGTGGAAGCCACACCCACCTTTATTTTAGATGAAATGTATATATTTTTTAAATTTTCAATTTTTATAATACCCATAATTTAAACAGATAGACCTACATTACAATACTTTTATAATATTAATAAAAATTATATGATAATGATAAGACGACAATAAAAAATAGTACAATTTTGTATATTAATATAACATAATACAGTAGACATCTTGGCGCCACCTCTTTAGTACAGGACAATGCATCACCAGGGGAGGTATAAATATTATTTTATACCTCAGCCTCAAGCTGCTTCTAACTCCTATCCAATTATTTTAGTTGGTTTAACATTGGCCGAATTTATGTTTTAACACACGACCCTATAATTTAATAATTTAATAAATTAATTATGAGGCCTACTTACCCTGTCGTTGAAGCGAACTGCTGGCAGCCCGATTACATCCCCTTAGTAGCTCTATAGCCCAATACTGTACATTGGTAGGCCTTATGTACCCTATCTGAACAAAATCATACGGCACTTTTCATTTTGATTATAATCCGCCCCTCTGTCAATAGCAATCGGGTAGTCAACCTGATAGAGGGCAGGATTTATCAAAAAAACAAAACTAGCCAACTATTATAATCAAAGATACTAGAAATACAAGATAGAGTTCTCGCATTGTAAAAATGAGGCGGAAGTCGTGCCCAACGTAGGCGGCGCCCTTCTTTTTAACCATGCAAGTTTCCTATACTTCGTGCCCAACGTACAGGGCGCCCTTCTGTTGCTAAGTATATCCAGACGCAAAAGGCGCCCTTCCTTTTCCACCAATGGAGGAAAACCTTTTCACTAAGAGGGCGTCCGGCCATGCGATTCTGCGCTGTATTGTTGTTTTATTCTTTACTGATTCATGATTATGCTTTAATTGTTTTGTGTATTATTTGGATAATAGCATCGATTTCTACCGCCACAGTCAAGGGAATATGATTAATTTCAAAACTGCATTTTCATTTAAGGAATATACATATTTTGCTGCATTTAGACCAAATTATAGAGCATCAGATGGTTTTGATAAAGACAAGTTATTTTCAAGATTGAGTCGTGTTTGTCATAGCAACTCATTTGACACACTCTCTGAAGTCGTTCTTCGTTGTGTTTCTGGTGACATTGACTTCAACTTAGTTCAGTCTATGTCAGTAGGCCCAGTAGGGTCAAACCTGGCTACTTCACTTGGCCTCCTGGCTGGAGACGATGTCCTCTACCTGTCTCTTATACACATCTAGATGTGTATAAGAGACAGATATTACTGTTAGCTAAACACATGGAAAATCCATAGTGTAGTGGCGTATCTAGGGTGTGTGTGTGGGGGTGGCCACATGCGAATGCCACTCCAAATATCCATGCGCGCCTCCCCTAAAAATCATGGTAAAGTAGTTAAAAGCACCTTAGTTTGCAAGTTAGGGGCTCTTAGCTTATCATCGAGCCCCCTCACTCTACCTCCGCCCCCCCCCCATCAGTGCCCACATTTCAAAACTCCTACACAACTGCCATAGTGATCAGTGATTGTTAATACTTCCATTTTAAAAAGAAATTTTGCAGGTTATTAGTTCTCTTTTACTGGTTGTCCATTAAATCTATCTTTTATATGCAAGAATCAACATTAAGCGTAAATGGTTACCGATTACATGAGTTCATTTTCTGTGCTAATCTGTATTTTTTTATTTATGTAGTTGCAAACACATCAAACATACGACGCAATGCAGACTGATATTCAAACATAATTACTGTACCTGAAGCTTCAGTACAATTTTTATAGCATATTTGGCATTTAAAACATTTTAATAATATTATTTACCATTATGTTTTATTTCCATAGATACACCAACAATAAAAATCAATATGATACCTTTGATGAAGTTGCTATTGCTGTGCTTTATCACCGCTTTTATAAATTGTAAAAAGTTGTCAACCTATCAAGTACATGAATTTGAACCCAGCAATAATGAAGTTTTATATCATGTGACAGTCCATAACACAACAGGTGATATCTACATAGGAGCCCACAATGCATTGTACAGACTGTCAGAGGATTTAAATATCATTGCAACAACTTCAACTTGTTCGCCAGCTGATGATGATTGCGACAACAACAATAAAGTATTAGCCATTGATTATGATCACGATAGGTTGATTACTTGTGGAGGAGGAAACAATGGAAGATGTGAGGCACGGTCACTGATGGATTTATCTTTGAATGGAAGCGATTTTGTAGAGGAGATTGTTAGTGGACTCTCTGCTGTCGGACTCATTGCTCCTGGTTTAGTTAAAGACAAAATAGAAAATGTATTGTATGTATCATCCGGTCATACCTCTTTGGATATAGTAGATTATAAGTATGTTAATGCAAGGAGATATCTAAGAACATCAATGTTTGCACAAATAATAGATGGTGTTCAACCAGCAGAGGAATATATAAACCGAGGGAAACAAATTAATTTCAAAGCAGTATTTACTTTTAAGAACTATACATATTTTGCTGCAATCAGACCAAATAAAGAAGCATCAGATGGCTATGATGATGAGGATGTGTTTTTTTCAAGGTTGAGTCGTGTTTGTCTCAGAAACTCATTTGACACACTTTCTGAGATTGTTCTTCGTTGTGTTTCTGGTGACATTAAATACAACTTAGTTCAGTCAATGTCAGTAGGTCCAGTAGGGTCAAACCTGGCTGCTTCACTTGACCTCCTGGCTGGAGACGATGTCCTCTACGGAGTGTTTGCTGAGGATGATGATAGTGGAAATCCAACTGAACAGTCTGCATTGTGTGTTTACAAGTTGGATGATATTGAAAAAGCATTTTTCAAAGCTTTGAATGCTTGTCTAACTGGTTTTGAAACAGTTCGTGCTCCTCATAGACTAAGTTATGCTGCTGGCGCTTCCTGTGATAGTGTATGAAACCATATTATTTTTACTTTTATTATTAATATGATATGTAGCATATATTAAGGCAACTGATTTATAAAGCTCTATTTTAAAACATTTCTTGAAAATGAAATGTAAAATACTGTATTATTAAGACTCGGTAAACTGTATCTATTAATTTATTAGGTACTACAGAAGTTTTTCATGATCCATCTTTTCTTATATTCTACACTTTCACTATGCTGGATCTTGATACTGCTGATGAAATATCTTTTTGATTTTATTAAACTTAGGACAGGGAGTCTAATAAATAGGCATTACAAAGATTTTCATGATCTTTATTTTTTATGTAATATATTACATTTATCATTAAGCTGTTGACTCTCAGTTCTGCCGATGTGATGTTCTACATGTGTCCAAATAATGATCCATTGAGCCGCTATTCACAAGGTATCTACACAGAAGCAGCAGTGTCACAGGCTGTGCTAACATTCACTGACACAATCCTTACATCAGTCATAGCTACAGTTGAAGAAAACCACACAATAGCGTTCCTAGGCACAGATGGTGGACAATTGATGAAGGTGAGTACAGAAGGCTAGACCTGATGCATGAAATATGGTAGCATCATTCTTCTAATAAATAAAGAGGTATTTAAAAAAAATTAACAATGTTAACAAGAGTAATGTTATATTTTTGTGTAGATTATTTTCTCCATCAACTTGTGGATGCATGACTTGGTAAAGTCTAAAATAAGTGAACAATATGTGGCAAAGACAAGCCAAACCAGCAAACATTTTGATATCTATTTTATGGCACTAAACTGACCTATATATATATCTATATATCATGCTACTGCATATTTTCCCCATTTTCAATATTACAGTAAATTATAATTTCTGCCTGAGAAATGCCTGAAATCATAAATTTTGAAGACTGATTTCTCAAATATTGTTCTTTAAACAGCTGTATGTTTAAACTTCTGTAAACTTCATAAAAAAAAATGATGGATTTAAATTATTCTTTTACCATTTTATAGCTCTCATTTTACTGTTTAACCCTGTATGAATTACTAAAAATTGATTTTTGCGACGAGTGGGTGGTTTGGCTTGCTGTTACCACATTTGTTTTAATCATGTTAACAACATCAGATGAACTCTTGGGAATTACTGTAGGTCTTCTAACAGAATATAAACATTTTATGAAAACAATATAAATAATTTGTATTGTACCTTCCTTTTTGACCTTGTAATTATATAGATTCTTATTAGTATTATTATTATCATCAAATGTATTTTCTGATGACAATTTTTTTTTTTTTTGTTGTAAATAATGTATACCGATTATATTTAATTGACTTTAATCAGTGTTCTCCTTTGGCATCCAAGTGCGACTTGACTGATTTGGTTCACTTTCTGGCAATCCTGTCAGTCCAAATGAGTTGTTATTTTCTTACCTTTGTTGTTTTTGTCATTTTTATTGTTTCTTTGAATATAAATGAGATCAAATTAAATCAAATATAGAAAATTTAGCTAGAAAATTTAACATTAAATTCTGCAATGTATTAATACCTATCATATCATTATTCAGTAATAGTTTGATATGATTTTGTTAATGTCAATGAATATTTTATATTAAATAGGTATACTGTAAATCATTGTTGTTGTAAAGTAAAAATGTTTGATGCAGGAATTACCTCTCACTAGCTCCAGGCCAAAGTAAATTTGATCCTTTTTGTTAAGTTAAAGCAAAATAAAAAAGTATAAATGTATAAATAAAATTTTTTTTTTATTGAATACCAGGTTAACATTATCAGCAAAAGTTCAGCCAGAGTGTATGAAAATATTACATTAGATGCAGGTCAAGAGGTCAGGTCAGATACATTTTTAGACAAAACTTCCAATCAATTGATGGTGCTTACAGAAACAATGGTGAGCTAGAATTTTTTTCACATTATAATCACATTTGAAAATTCTGTTGATATTATGCTTTTTGTACTGTTCAGTGTTTTAGTGGATAATAGTATTGGAGTGATGCTGTTTTGCCCTACTGTACTGTAACATGTTATAGTAAGCTTCCAAATAATTGAGAAAAAAATCTTGATTAGGGTAGAACTCAAAAAACATCACCCCTATTTAAATTTCCTGATGCAAAACATTATCAAAGATAGATTAGTATTTATTTAATTGGTCAAGATTATAGTTGGTTTTACTATTTTACTGGTAGTGACATGTTTGTTTTTGTTAATATACTTTTCATCACTCTTTATATGAAATGCAATACATCTGTGATTAAATTCAAATATTTATTATGTTCAGTAGATAATTTGCATCAATCTAGAAGTTACAGTGTTGTTTAATAATCTGTTTTTAGTTGCTAAAACTACCAGTAGCTAACTGTAGTCAGTTTACCACATGTGATGAGTGCATCAGACCAACTGGAGACCAAGATGGAGACCCATATTGTGGTTGGTGTACACTGCAGAAAATGTGAGTTACATTAAATATGTACTGTACAATTCTGTTATTATATCCATCATTAATCTGGATCTGAATCAATATTGGCGAAGGAACACATGGGTATATGCACCAGGGGTGTGTCTCTTGTTGTGCATACATCATACCTACTACAAAACACAAAACCACTTGGTGCAACATCAGTACCACATAACCACATCAAAAGAAATCAAATGAATTTTAATCCATGAAAATCGAATGATTTATCAAATTGAAGCCCATAACGCGACAGTACATGCTTTTAGGCAGTGCAATGGTATTAATTTTACCATTGTTTATGTTTGTCCAAAGTGTTGATTTAAAGACTTGTAATATTATAGTAGCTTGTTTAATTTTCACTGTAGTCATTTACATTGGAGCAACCTTAATAATACTTAAGTAGTATAGTTATAATTTTAGTAGGTTATCTTGCACTAGTTTCCCTTATTATTTTATGACAGATGTACCAGATTTAAAGAATGTAAAAGCTCTTATTGGTTGCCTGGCAACACTGCACAATGCATACAGATTACAGATGTTGAGCCACCATTCGTCCATTACACAGATGAACATGTCAAAGTAAGTAAATGACCATGACATCTAATTCATTTATAGATAATGTTATCTTAATTTTGTATCTAATGAAATAATAATGATAATGTTATTGTTGGTTTTGAATAAAAGTGATTTTGAATAAATCATTATTTTGTTGAGCATTATATTTACTGTAGTTTAACTAATACTGTACATTACAAAATAGGAAAGTGTGATATTTAATTACAATTGCTAATATAAATATCCTCTGGCCAGAGGACATATCTAAGAGTATTCTGTTGCCACTGGAGAAAAAGAAAAATGCCACTTGATGCAAGGATCATCGTACCATCAGCTAACATACTGCTTAGGGTACTTACCACACAAATGGAGAAAAGGGCGAACGAATGGATTAGAATAGATCAGTTTGGATTAGAATAGATCAGTTTGGATTTGAAAAGGGTTGTGGAACTAGAGATGCAATTGGAGTAATGCACATTGCATGTCTTAAGTGAGCATTGTATTGAATTTCAACAAGATGTGTATGTATGCTTTATGGCTTTCTAAAAGGCCTTTGATAGATTTAATTGGTTAAAACTAATGGAAGATAGGAATAGATAGGAGAGACAAGAGATTAAACAGAGCTGTATCTAAGACAGACTGCCTCTGTTTGGACCAAGTATTTCACCATAAAACCAGCCAAGGGCTTAGCCAGGGAGCTGTCCGGTCCGGCAGTCTTTTAACAATTATTTAGGACGGATACTTTACCGTGATGGCTTGGCCTACTCAGTTCAACGTAGCCTACGTTTGATAAACAGATTTTATTGATTGAAATTACGTTGTTTTCATAACGACATTCATTGGGGATTCCCAAAAATGTAAAGGCTAAACCATTACCTACGCAGTGAAAATTTCACTTACAACATGCTGGAAAATGGACGTTTTTAAGTTGCCCACAATGCATGCACGTGGCTCTGCAAATACAGTACTTGAGATTCGATTCCCCGAGCTATGGTTCTTGTTCGTAACTTCCTGGTTATAAAATCCATAAAATACCGTAAAGCAGATTTGTTGTTAACATCACAAGTTTTTTAATAGAATTTTAAAATTTTAATAGTCAACAAAATAGAGTAGGCCTATGCCTATACTATACATCTCTTGATTCAGATGACCTAGAGTAAAAATTTACACTAGACTAGGGTGAGAGATTAAGATGCATAGCCTAGAAAAATAATGTGAGTAAAAAATAGCAGCCGTGGCCATCTATGTCTATAACTGAAATATCTTTGTGAAAGCTAATTCAACACTATTCCTTTAAAGACATTCCAACATTTAAACACCTTTAAATGCACTATAAAAGGTCATAATTTTCTATTGTTTTCCATACATACTGAGGGATACACCCCCTCCCAAGCCACCTCTGCTCGGGGCTACGCCCTTAGGCTGTTGCTTCGCCCTTAGGCTGTTGTTTTGTGACAAGTTCTTTATCTTCTATTTTGGATGGCCTATTTCGTTTTTCTGGTGCTTCTAAATTAAAAAAAAAAAAAATCTTTTTTTACACTATGTTTTAAATGTACAGTAGGTCTTATTTTTAAGTGCTTTTAAAATTTGTATGGCATTTTATCTTGTTGTATTGTGTGTTCAACCTTTTGTATTTTCTGTGTTGACTTTTTATTATTAACTTTTTTCTATTTTATGTAGTGCATCAAACAACAAATTTTCAATTGTATGTTTTATATAATTTGGACAATAAAAGTTTTTGAATTTGAATTTGAAACCCCTAGAACTACCTAATACAAGTATTGAAGGAGCCTACTGACAGATGATTGATATTGCGAGAAAGAGATCAGTGCAAGAATGTCAATAGCAACACCAGATGCAGAGAATTATTATTTTTCTCTCTTCTTGTCGTAGGTAAAATTAACTGTTGAGCAACTCCCACCATTAAATGCCAACCAAAATTATAGTTGTAAATTTGGTGATTTTGTGTCACCTGGACTGAAAGATGGAAAAACGATCACCTGCACATCACCACCTAGAACACAAGTGCCACAGATACCAAACAAAGAAGGTGAGATGACAGCATTGATATTTTTTTTCAATACCAGATTATAATTTATTTTATCTAATAATTAATGACTTTTAAATTTATTTCATGAGCAGTATATTTTTAATTCAGTTGATTATGTCATCTTTTTAGCTGCTGTGGAAGTTTCGTTATCTGTGCATTCATCTCAAACTGATGTTGATTTTGTTACCACTCAATTCAGGTTCTTTGATTGCAGTGCCATCACATTGTAAGTTGGATTTCATTACTTTTGTATTATTTTGTAATCTCCATTGAAACAAAAAAACAATTTATTACTTTTTACTGTAATTTTATTTTGTATAATGTTGTATTTTTATATTATATTTATTTCTCTTTATAGTAAAGAATCACAGATTTGAAAACTTACAAACTACTGTATGACTTTCATTATATTAGTAATTTCTAATTTTACAAAGAAATTGTTGATTTAAATTTTAAAATGTTATATAAACAATATAATGTATTGTGTTATATCATTATTAGAAACATTTTTATTTTCATACAAATTAGTTTGGATCAATCATTACTGTATTTGTCTTTGCATCATGTATTTTTTTTTAATGAAGTTTGCATATTGTCAGCTATGAATTCCAGTCTACTGTAACTGTTTCAAGTACACTGTCACACTGTGTCAAGTACACTGCCTGTAATAAACTATATGAGAAAATGACTCAAAGAGGCAATTGAAAAATAAAATTGCTCCTAGAAAATATCAACTAAGCTTATTAGCTTTCAATGAGATCAAAACAGTTTAGTTTTTGCACAGATTTTTATAATAAAATAATAACAATCTTATTTTTGCCATTTCCTTGTATTTAGCCCAACACAGGCTGTGAATATCTTAAAATATAAATAAACTGAATTGTATGTACAGTTACTGTATGTCATTGCACTGTTCATAACTATTTTTATTATTTTGTACCATCTGATTATGTTTTTTCATAATTTAAATTACCAATTGAAACAATGTTCAACTCATTACAAATAAATTAGTAATAATGAGTTAAATATTACACTGTTCCATTTATCATATGGAACAATTTACTGTTTAACCCACTACATACTAATTCATTTGTAAACCCTACATTTTAGAATAAGATTACTTTACATTATTTTATATATAGACAATTAATTCATTATACCCAAAAATATATAGTAAAATGAAATTGAAAAATTAAAACAGCCAATATTCTGAATTTTAATCACCAAATATAGACATATAATTTACAAGGAAGTAAATCAATTTTAATCTGTAGAAAAATTTGTAATACGATTTTGAGGAAATAAAGCAAATAGCATCTCAGAGTAAATATACCAAGAATCTGTCTTGTTGAAGTTCAGTCCTTTGTAGTCATTTGTAGCTGTTTCTTGTGTATACAAACTCTGAAAAAATTCCACTGTGTTTGTTCACTGAGTCATCAAGAAAATCCACAACTCCCAAAGATGGTTATTGTGACCGTCAATTGTGTAATGTCAAAATTGTTTGTGATCATGAGCATTTAAAGTTGTTCATTGTACATGTAATTTTATTATATAATAGAGGAAAATCCTCACTTCAAACCTATTGCTTGTATTTGAACTGTGAAATGAACAATGCATTTGGCACAATTGTGGTTGCACCAATTATAACTACCAGAATAGTTTTGAACCATTTAAAGGCAACTAGTGTGGGAAAAATATTATTTGATCAAAAAGATTCTAATTCTAGTTTGTTATTGATTATGTAAATTTTAGCATGTGAACTATTAAGTATTTAGTGTAATTTGTCTTTGTTAAAAAGTATATCAATGTTCTAGAACCTTGTCTCTTTTGGCCTTTTCAGTGAAGTGTAATTATTGTTGTGAAAAAAGTCATACATATTTGGCCTAGGATTTAAAGTAAGGCAACTTCACACTACCAAACCACAGCATGAGCTAAACAATTAACAGAAAAAATATTTAGATTGCTTGTTTTATAATAATGCTCTTGCCAAATTACAGACACAATAAATAATAATGATTCAATATTATTTTGCATCTAGCGAAAGGTCTGCAAATGTGCAGGTTTTTTTTTTTTTATCTGTATATTTACCTTGAATAGGAATATATATCTTATTTAGTCCTCGATTCAAATCCTGTAACACCAGAGTTGTTTTTTTTCACAAAGCTACATTCCCTTAAAACCTTTATACTGTACTATAGAGCGTGTCACTTCTATTCTGTAAATGGTGAGTCATTTGCTGTTGTATAAGAATGTGGTTTGGTGCAACTGGAATGGTTTGGTTTCACATCTTCCAGGTTGGGGTGTTTCAATCCCTCCCTGTGCACTTCGCTTGTGTCTTTGAGCAAAGCACTTTTAATTGCATTGCTTCTCTCTACTCAGAAGTGTAAATGGGTACCTGGTGGGGTTGCCTGTTACTGCACCAATATGGCAACTACACTTGTGTGTGGCCCAATGACCAGGAAAAACAGAGCACTTTGTACCCGATGAAAAGGCTCCAGTAATACCAAATAACAAATATTCAATGTTTTAATTAACTTTTTAAGGTTTGCATAAGGACATGATATATTTTTAATATCATGTGTGGTATATTAATATAAAGTATACAGACACAAGTATGCACTATCCACTGTATGAAGATATCAACAGCAAGTATTAGAGTAACACTTAAATTATAATAAGCTTAAGGTTTAAGAGGAGAAGGGATTGGACATGGATTTGAACTCAAGCTACAGCTCCCCTCTTTTTTATTTAAGTTGTTCCGAATGTGTTACCAGCTTTACCTGTGATTGGTGTCTCTATGGCAACACATGTACCCAAAATGCATCAGCATTCTGTAGTACGGATGATCAAGTGATCTTGAATGGCAATGTGAGTAATACTAAAATTATAATTTTAAATGTAAATATGCTTTTAATGAGATTTTTGAAGAGTTTCTCTAATTACATAATAAATATTTCAATATCTGCATATTTATTTTAATAAGGCAACTGTGACACCAGTTCCTGGTGGTATGAAAGGTCATGATTCATGTCCACAAATTATCCGTCAAACCAATGAAGAACTGATTCATGCGAGTCTAGTGAAAGAAGTCCGTATACCTGTTAAGAATTTACCAAATGCAACAAAAGTAAGAAATAAGTGTCAAAGGCCATGTCATACATCCTTTGTTATTGACGGTAGGACGTAGAACGTAATGACTTCACTAAAAGTCATTTACGCATGCGAGAACGTTAATATCGCCTCATCGAGTAGATTCTGGAACGCAATTTGGCCAAATATATTAATGCAGAGAACGTAGGACGCCATGTAGGACGGTCACGCATGAGTGATTTCGTTCTAGCGTTGCGTGGTCGCACAAATCAAAAGTTCCCTAATACTGTAGTAACTATTTGTACACTGCACATAGTAATATTGATTCACATTATTCATCATGAGAGGGATGCAGGTTATCATACATTGAACATCTATTATACAATTTTTAGGTTGGGGGAGGGGGGAAGATACAATTAAGCGCTCCTCTTTGGACCTGTTCCTGTACTTTGCTTTATTTATGAGTGATATTGACCCCAAACTGGAACTGCATATTCAAGTTCAGAGATATTAAGACCAGCTCTTAATTCTTCATTTTAGGAAGTACATTCTAGAATTACATTTACTACTTATGCAATCAGTGTGGGGCTGCCAGAATAAACTATCTTAAATAATAATACCGAGCATTGTAGAATAAACCTTGGTTTTGGGGTTTTTTTTACAGGTTCTCTATAATACCTATTTTTTTTCAAATTAAATATAATTATTTTGTATTCCAAAACAGTGCATTTTTTTTATTCTTAGTAAAATAATATTTTGATTGTCATTTCATATCAAATTTAAATATCTAGGTCAGCAATTAAAACAAAATGTTTTAGGTTTATAGTTTAAACTTGTTTTTGTTGTTACCAGTGTTTTTTGAACCAAGTTTTATGTTGGTTTTAATCTGACAGCAAGTTGAACATTTTTTCTTATTTATTTTTCTTTGTATTCATAATTTTGTTCAGGTCCCCATTGTCTATGAGTGTGTGCTGACAATTGAGGGGAAAACGTCAAATATTCCGGCGTCTGTTGAGGAATCTAATATTACTTGTTCCCAATACACAGTAAGACTTTATCCTTGTGTGATACATCTTTACTCAGCACTTTAAAGATTAACTATAAATGTAAAATATCCTCAAACATTCAGCCTTCCAGTGCACCTCCAAAGAGACTCTGATTCTAAGTTCTTTTGTCATTTGTATTTTAAATT